GATGGAAAGTAACCAAGTACGTTTACTCAAGTACTGTAATTAAGCACAAATGTGAGGTACTTACATTACAATACTACATTACTGTAGCTTTACTAGACTTGTCTGACAGCTTTAGTTACTAGTTACTTTTTCCATACCCTTCCTGTCCAGTGAAAACCAGGAATGGATTTTTTTTGGATTAGGGAGATTAGATGTTCCTTTTTTGGCAAAGTTAATTCTCCTACTTCTTAAACTAAATAAACTTAATAAACACCCTGTTGGATAAACTGGTAAATGCATCGTCACGAAGCTGGAAACAGGGCTGCGTTTCAGAGCTCATGAAAAGTGGATTATTATGAGACGTGTGGTTGTCACAAGACAGCAGCACTACAAACACTTAATGATCTTAAAGAATATGATTCAACGCTGTAGCTGCTACTTTAAATGCATTCACCCAAAATCCCAAAAGAACAGCTGAAAAAGTTATTCCAATGAAAACTGTCCACAGTGAGGTCTGTGCGCACTTAAGATGCTTTTATGTTTATTCTAACTACTATTATTTTGATCATCAAGCTACAAACTATTTTGGAAATGAATGAAAAGTTAGAAAATCAAAAACTTGATTTCCAAGAACCCTTCTTTTGTCTGAAGCTATTCAGACTTTTTTAATTTTCTGCCTGACAAATGGCTTAAATAGTCAATCAGGTATCAGAATAGTTGCTGATTAGTTTTGCATCAACCCACTGATTGTTTCAGCACTAGTTGAGGTTAAGATGTAATTTTTTGTCCTATTGCTTTTAGCACCATAACCAACCCGCCTCCTTTCACCTCCACTGTGCAGAAAATATCTCAACCACAAGCAATAAAGGAAAACGGATTTTCTTGTGTGATTTGTCTGAACTGAACCATTAAACACTCACAACTCACCAATATTAAACTGCGGGGCGAACTTGCAGCAGGCGACTCCCAGGTCGTGGGCGTCCTTCTCAGCATGCAGGACACTGATGTCCGTATCCCAGAGCTTGAGGTCTCCGTGGGTGCAGCCGGTCACAAACATCTGGCTGCAGGGAGAGAAGCAGCAGGCCACGACACTGTCCTCGCTCACTGCACCGCATCTGCAGCAGATTCGGTTTACAACTTGGGTTAGAACTCTTTATGAACAGCACCAGTAGACAAGGTGCAGGACTTGATCTGGAATAATTTCATTTTTGGCTTAAAAAAAAACCAGCTCTTTGAAAACACTCTTGGATGAGGCTGCGGAGTCCTAGACTGAGATTGGTCTAAACCACCTGGGAGAGTCTTAATTAGCTGGCCTGAGGATGCTTGTAGAAGTTGTGACAGATCACAAAAGATGAAAATCACACACAATTGTTTTGTGATTGAAAGGCAAACTAATCAAGAATAATCATCACAAAATGTCTTACAAACATACACAACACAACACTGGTTGTGTCTCTGTACAGAATATACTGGTAACATTACAATACGGACACTTTAAGACTCCAACTAGGCAATAACCTTACATACTGTTGGATATGCAGCTTGAACTGTTGATGTGATTCACTCCGGCTCACACTGTACCTGCGCAGTGTCCTGGATGGGAAGTCCCAGAGGGCCACGGTGCCATCACAGGCCCCTGCCAGCAGGAGGGAGGAGTCCGGCGCCAGTGCGCACGCTCGGAGCGGAGCGCGGCCCGGGTGCTGCAGCACCGCGAGCACCTCACCTGTCTCCGAGCTCCACGCGATGGCGGACCCGTCCGTGGAGCAGCTGAGCAGGTAGCTGCCACACGAGCTGAAGCAGCAGCAGTGAACCCCGTAGCCGTGACCCGAGAGAGGGGAGAAAGGGAGCTCCGAGAAGTCTGTGGTGTTATAAAGGCGCAGGGTTTTATCCCCGGAGGAGGAGGCCAGGAGGGATGGAGAGAAGGCACAGCAGCTGACCTCGTCGGTGTGCTGTCGGAGAGTGACAATTACTGACACCATCTTGTGACAGAGACGTGTGGTGTGACAGAGGGAGCGGTTCACTCGCAAGGTGGCGCAAAATGCTCAAATATGCGCCTGTTGAAAACGAAAGAGGAGTGAGGAGTTACAACAGCACCTGACGGGAAGCTGCGTGTGTTGACAGCTGTGAAATGTTTTGGTTCAAATAGAGAAAAAGATACAAAACCGGAGAGCATTGAACCGTCGCTCCTCGTGTGTCTCTGATAGTTTCACAGTACTTCCTCCTCCTCGTGCAGCTCACATATAAAGTCTGTTTATCTTCCACAGCTGTTATCAGTCATGTGACGCCGAGTTATTGTTACACAAAGTTCATAGTCGACAGTTTTTAGTTTGAGAGTCCACTAGTCGCATAGAGGAAAATTATTTATATGTACTTGTTTCATTTGAATTGGCTCTAAAATAACAACACCAAAGCACTACTCAAGTATTATCAAGTTCAAAAGTAGAAGTACACATAATAGTGTTATATATTAATGGATTATACCCAGTTATCCTCAAATGAATGTTAACGCAGCATTCTGTGTTGTAGTTAAAAGAGGTGAAGTTCATTTTGACTACACAGCACCAGTCAGAGGCAGTCTGGATACATTTCCACATTCACTTGAATGAGAAAATGTATCCAGACTTTTAACTGTAACTATCTGTAACAATGCTTCTTGTTTTATTTGTTGATGGTGTTTTCTATGTAAAAGTAAATCTTGTGCCATTTTTTTTGTGTTAAACAAAGTGATAATGAGGACCTAACAGTGTTATTTTGAAAAAAAAAAACAGGTTTATTTTATCTGTGCCACACACCCACTATTCAAAAATAATATTCCCACAAAAGTTGCTACTCATTTCACGATATTCATAATAAAATACAGTTACTTCAAGTCTTCTGACTTCAGCTGTCTTGAGACGCCGCCGGTGGACCGTGACACAGTCTGACTCCCAGCTGGATTTAAACACAGTGCAGGTTTCACGTCTGTCCACGGGATGTCTGACAAGACTCTGGTTGAAGGAAATGCTTGGAAATGAAACACACTATATGCACCACATCAATTCTTTTCAGAAGAAAAGCTCTAAAGAGTTTTACATTTTGTGTGAGGGGTTTTTTCCTACAGTATATTTGTGCAGGACACACATACAGTACGCACACTGAAAATACAAAAACACACACTCGTCCACACGCTGTTTAGAGGTCAGAGGTCAGGCACTACAATACTGAGGAGACCGCAGTGTTTTGAGTGGATATTCAGCACAGGCAAAATACAGTATGAGACATATGAAGTGCTACAATCATCCTTATGCATTAGTAATATATTGAACAAGATTGTACTTTGTGTACTGTACACTCTGTACATGTTAGAAACAGGACTTGTATATAGTGACAGTGATACTTCTTTGTATTTCACACAATTAAACCCAGAAATGTCAATGAACAGTAGTACTGCTGGCACCCTATTGTCAAAAAAGCTGTAAACATTTTTTTTTGGATTGGCTTGTTCAATAATTCATAAAACAATATTTAGATTTTATTTTTTTAAAGCTGTGTGCCATTTCCTGCTTTTTCTTACTAAAGACTGACTGTAACATAAATACATCAGAAAATAAATACACACATATACACTAAGCTGAAGTACTGTTGATAAAAAAAAGCCAATGACCTATCTACAGTGGAAATCCTTGTTTCGCAAATACAATATTGAGTCCAAGAGTCAGTGCATTTTGATAAAGAAAACAATATTGCACTTTAAGATATTAATCCATGAAGTGTCTTTTCTCTGCACGAAAATGTGTCCTTTCACGTCCATTGCACATCAGTATTATTATAACTGTGTATTGATTTAGTGTCACAGGTGAAGAGAAGGCCTCAGACACTAAAGATGAAGTCTGATATGTAGAGAGTAGCGCAGTCCACACTGGAATTTATTTTTTTTATTTCAGCAGTTCAGTCCATCGTTTGTCAAAAAAGCTCCTCATTCTGTGGCCGGCTCGTCCAATTTCTGAGTCGTCTTCATTAAATCTTTCACAGTTCTCAAAAACCAGATTGACGTCAACGATGAAAGTTTCCAAATTTGAGTACCTGTAATTATTAGGAAAGGTGTTAACTTTTAATTTATATGTAAATTGTGAAATACGTAAAAGCATGTGGACATAAAATCCACGTGAAAAAAGATACTGCGACAGTGACACAAACATACTGGTTGTTGGTGAGCTTTTCTCTGATGGTGGAGAAATCCATGGGCTTCTTGATGACCTTCCTGTACCCGGGGACAGCTTTGTGGTTGACCGGTGTGAGGAAGGGCCAAGCGTCCTGATGGGCTTCCAGTTCAGCCAGCAGCACTCTGGAAAGAACCAGTAGCAAGTGTAAGTAGTAGCAGATATGAAAGGACATGAAATAAAATGGATGTTTTGACTGCACAAGGATGATTGTCTTGATGACATGTATCACAGGAGCTCATTAAAATTGTACAGATTTTAAAAATAAGAAGTAAAGTAAATGCTGTTCTGTCTGCGTACCGGCACATCGCCAGCCCATTCGTGTCGTTGTCTTTGGCCGATTTGGCTTTTTTTGCACAGGAGGCAGGGCTGTCATGCCTGGCCTGGGAGGCGGGTGGGCTGTCGTCTCCTTTCCTCTTCTTGAACTCCTTGGTACCTTTCTTTGGCACGCTGTTGCTGCTGGCAGCCTCTTCTTTGATGAGCTCTCCTACCGCAGATGGCTTACTATTTCGTTTTACCTCACTGCCTTTCTTCCCTCCTCCAGCTGTTCGGCTCTGTTGCCTCCTGCTCCGGGGGGAATGACCACTTTCCTAAAACAGAATACAAAGAAAGCTGGTGTAGAGACGCACAAAACAAAACATACATCATATTCCAATCAAATTAATGTTGCTGCTTTATTGTTTGACTACATGGGGTACGTCTCCTTAGATCTGTAATAAACTATAATAGTGGAACTGTAATAGTGGACTTTTAAGTCTAAGCTCTGTGAATAAACACTGGGCATGCTGGTGTACCTTCGCTACACAAGTGAGACAAAACCAGTCGCCATCAGGTACTGTAGTGATCTTGGGTTTATGGCAGTATGTGTGGCAGCCTTTGTCACAGCCATCACAGAGTAAGAGCAGCTCTTCATTATCCCCCTTTTGACAGAGCTGGCAGTGCTGAAAACACCAAATATATGTATTTATGAATTCAAACTGAGATACATCACTGTGAAAACTAGTGATTTATGCGCTTCTTTGCTTCCAGAGATAGTGAATGATGCTGATTTGTTGCTAATTGTGCTATTATGTGATATGGTTGTTGCCTGGTAATGATGTATTGTAAATTGATGCTGCTAACACAACTTTCCTTTATTTCACCTTTTGCATAACAACAACAACCCTCCTTTAAGGAACACAGGCTGTGTGGATTTATTGTGTTATCCTTGATTCTTTTCTTATGTATTTTGAAAGGATCAAATAAATTGAGCAAACTAATGGTTTATACCGTAGTGTTTATGGAAAGGAACGAGAAGCCATGCAGTCTGAAAGAATGATCTTCATTATGAGGGACATTTTCAGTGCGCGCTTTACATTGCTGTTTAAATATATGTATTATAAAACATAAACAAATCTGTGATTATGAGAGAGTAATTAGGAGTTACTAACCACTTTCATGATGGATCGTTCCCATACAATGGATTTCTGCAGCTGCTGAAGGCAGAGTGACAGCTGAGCTGAGCTGCGGACTTCACCGAGGGCTTTACGCCACGACCTCATCCCCGGAGCCACTTCCTCCTCACTGCTTTGAGGTCACAGAAAGTGAGACTGCAGTATAACCGTACAGCAATCACATATACAGTCTGTAACATTACTGACTGACAATGCCATTAACAACCAATATCAGCCAGTGAAAAAAATAAGTAAAGGGGGAAACAATCTTTAACTGGAGAGACTTTGAAAAGCAGCAAATTCGGAGGTTAAGAATCTCCCTTTCCCTTCACTACTAGAGGATGGAGACGGAACACATACAGTGACATTATCCAGTCCGATCTGAAAGGTTGCACTTAAGGGTCTCTTTAGATACCTTCGCTCAATGTTCCTTTCCAGCTCTGCCAGCCTAATGACAGCTATATCGAGGGGATTGTTGGGCCGCCGCACCACAGAGCCAGGAAGTTCCTCCTGGCTGGTTTCTCTCAGTCCTTTCTTCTCTGGAGCAGAGGAAGAAAAGAGCTTGTGCTCATGATAGACCAGATCCTCCCTCTCTGACTGGGGCTCAGGATGCATCCAGCCCTGAGGAAGACATCGTGAAATATGGTCATCGACTCATCGCAACACAGTATTTGACACAAGACAAAATGAGCACACAGGAGTGCATCCAAGCATATATTGGTGAATCAAAGAGTAGATGAAAGAGTGGGATGCTTGTTTGCCTGTACCTTGACCTGGAGGCTGGCAGAGATGACTTTCCTTTCCAGATGCTCGACCTGCTGCAGCAGGCTAATGTCCACCTCCATGGCCTGCTCCTCGACGCACCAGCTCTCCACTGTTTTCTCACTCACCTCCTGCTTCTGTAGCTCTGCCACATCAATCACTGCCACCACAGATACATACAAAAATTATAGCAAACTGCCATCTACTGAAAGCTCATATTTAATTTCATCGCAACCAAGTGGCACACGGCAAAAGGTCAAATAACAATACTTGTGTAACACTGCTGTCTGTTAACAGCGGAGGAATGTGGACTAACCATCGTTGCTGTTAGCGCAGAGCTGGGTCATGTACTCCATATGTTTTTGTATCTGTTTCTGCAAGAACTTCTCTCTGATGCCTCGGCTATTGAGGGCATTAACCAGACGGTGCAGTTCCTCCATGTCTGACATTCTCCACCAGCCACACAGCATCTCTGTCAACACACACATGCACATATTTAAAAACTATTGTCACATAATTGTTTAATTTAAGCAAACATAGAGAAATAGTACAACTGACTGACAGCATGTATTCCACTGCTGTCTGGGCAGTGAATGTCTTTAGAGCAGCATATTCCACTTGTGCACACTGGCAGTAGGCCATTCTTACCCTCGGGGATAGGCTGAGGAGTAGGGTAGTCCTGGTTCTTGGCCACCTCCGCAGCAGGGGATGAGCCACAAGCGGACTTGTCACTCAAGGGCTCTGGGGTCTCACTCTTGTTGGCAGAGTTGTTATTTGCCAGGAAGAAGACCTTGTTCCTGTTACCCTCTGCATGCTGGGAGACCAGATCCAGCATGGGGGGTAGAGAAGCACCAGAGAAGGGCAGGCTGGGACTTGTCACTGCGCTGGACATGTCACACAGTGTCAATCTGCTCTGATGAATGCCAGACTTTACTTGCTGAGAGGGAAAATACACACAGTTCAAAAAACA